AGTGGTTTTGGAATTCTATAGGAATCTATAGTCAATATTCAATGTATACAGTCCATATATATATATATATATATATATATATACACACACACACACATTTATTTTTTTCCTTTGATAAACATAATCCTTGGTTACCTTGTTTCAAACTGTTCATACTTCACCCTGGGTTACTAATTAATCTAGCGTAGTCAGTTTTCAAGATTTCACATTTATAAACCCTGGATTAAAGTTGTTATTTGCATATTTATAAGGTTGATAACACTGATTGAACAAACACAGCATTCATGAGCATGCAAACAGTTTTAATAGCTGTTTGTCCATCTGTGAACATGTTGTAGATCCGCGCTCGAAAATGCTCTCTGTCTCCGAAGACCTAAAGAAATATTCCAGGTTCAGAACAAGTTAAGCTCAATTGACCGTGCCTGTGGCATAATGTTGACTGCCACACAAATTCACTTGGCTCACATTTTCTTTTAAAAAAAAAATAATAATAAAATAAAATAAAAAATAAAAGTCTTAGCGAGCAGTCAGAAACTCAGTCAGAAAAGTGAGGCACTTACAGTGAAAATGAATGAGGCCAATCCATATACATTAAAATACAGTTTTGATGGTATAGCGACATAACGTGAACGATGTGTTTACATGATTTTATTATGAGGAAAAATTGCTTACTAAACTTTTCTGTGTGAATTTTACAACAACACTATATGACAACATGATATCCTACTGTAAAAGGATGATCTAAATGGTTTAACAGCTGAATAAACAAGTTTTAACAGAATAATTAATGTTTTTACAAAATTATAAGCTCTTTTCTTCATTTAAATCCTCCAAAAATCTGCCTCAAAATGAGGGTGAATACAAATGTCAACTACGTTTAAGTTCTGTTGAACTCAAAATTTTCCTTTAAATATTATAAAACAAGAGGCAAAAATAGTCTATATCACTGCAATTAACATGTTTGGTGTTGCTACACAACATTGTTAACAGTTCCCCACGGATATGAAGACTAAGCGTGAAAGCTGAACAGTATATGCTACATGAATATTTAATTAGATAAATTCTGAGACGGTTTTGATTGGTTGTCTCGTCTCTAGGGCAGGGTTTCATAACCCAGGGTTAAAAACAGTGCTAACTCTGTTAATTAGAGGTGTGAAATGCTGCTTAACCCACATGAAATAGCCTTATATGTATTTGTCGGTGTTTAGATAGATAGATAGATAGATAGATACTTTGAAGAGAATGAGATGAAAGACGGTATGACTGAAGACCCCACGACACTGGCCAGCTGTGCGTTATAAAAAAATTAATAGTTTGGCCCAAGGTGGCCTGATCATTTAAGGTTTTTAGATTTATTTTTAAATGCTTTTCATTGGAATTAATGAGCACAACCGCGATTAATGAAAATTTATTATGAAACGGAAGGAGAAGAAACGAGGATGGGTACACGCAACAGCAATGACAAGAGCGTGTCCGTCGCGCGCAGAGATGAAAAACGGCACCTCTCACCGCGAGGCGAACGGCAGCCTCCTCACGCGCGCAGGGGGAGAGAGAAGGATGCGCAAGTGGCACCAAACGCAATTACACGAGGCGCGAGCTCAAGGACTGAAGCACGCTGATTACACAAAGCCTCGAGAGTCTTTAGGTGGACACTGCATCGCACCGAGAGTGATTTCCTGCTAAATTGACCTCTCATTTGTTTTCGATCCGGAACAGCTGTGGAAGTGGGGGGGGGGTTATTTTCCTATATTCAATCACAACCACAGGCTTACAGCACACCTCACTGTATTTTTCTCTTTGATCTGGGTTTACTACATCTTCCAGAATTACATTTTCCTTGAAGAGAAACCCACAACACATTTGAGACTGAACATGGTCACACTGATGAAAAACAGTTTGATGGTTTGCTGGTCTTAAAATTGTCTCCTAACCTGCATTGCTGGAAAAAAAAAAAAAACCTGCTTAAACCAGCATAAGCTGATTTTCTAAATTTAGATGGTTTAAGATCTCCCAGCCTGACTTACCCATGTGTCCAAAACCAGGCTGGGAGATCATCAGGCCAGTCTAGAATGATTTAAGATCAGTACAGTGACTATCCAAAAAATAAAAATAAAAAAAAATCTGCCAACTGACTAGTATGAAGGTGTGAACCTTGAAAGTTTGCTGAATTTAGGTGGTTTAAGTTGGTCTTAGCTGGTCTGAGATGATCACCTAGCCCAATAAAATCAAACAACAGATCAAGAAAACCTGAAGCACAAATTCACAAAGTGTTTAAAAAGTGACTGCATTAGTAGAGGGGAGATGATTTGCTGGTCTTAAGCTGGTCTCCAAGCCTGATCTGCTGTAAAATGCCCAATCCCCTTTAATATGAGCAGCCTGATCAGACTTGGAGATCATTTAACACCAGCAAACCATCTTAAGCCATTCTAAGATGTTTTTCATCAGGGTACATTCTGTGAAATTCAAACAAATTCAATTCAGAGCAGATCAAATTAAAGCAAGAGAGATTTATCGCGTATATGGGCACCTGACAGATGGTGGCACGTGGGTGCATTGGGGTTATTTTTTGACACTGTAAAAATCATCTAGCTGGCACCTAACAAACTAACCAGCTGGTCTCTCTCACAATCCTATTCTTCGGTTTGGCTTTGGTTAAGATACAGTTTGACTATCCAAATCATTACAGACTTACGTGGATTGTATCACAATGCTTGTTGAATCACAGGACAAATAGTGTGAAGATGATCCATAAATAACACCGACAAGCACGCTGCTATTGAAATTTCAAGTAGCTCTTCCTACATTTTTAAACCTTGAAGTGGAGGTTCATACAAATTACTCATGAGAGAGACAAATGGTAACTGTGTCATCAAGGCTAACCAGTGCTTCTCCCATTGCAATGCACCCAACAACAATATTTTGCAATAATATGTGTGAATTGCATTTTCTAAAAGCTAACCATTACGGATAATTAAAGTAGACGGTTGATGAGTATTCAAAGTGCTTTCAAGAGTGACCTGCCCAACATCTCATTTCACCACTTAAAACGAATACGTGTTCGATGCTGCAGATGTTCTGCAACTAAATGACTTCAAAAACATGATTAGCAAATGTGATTTGTAGTCATGTTGTAAGCAACTCTCTCATCTCTTCATTTTCTCCAAGCGAAGTAATGGAGAAGAACTCCCCATTTACATTTATTGGAATCTCATTTGCTTTCCATCTGCTAACTAGCCACCTGTGAAACTAGTTTTAACAATCATTGGGGCTCAGGGCCACCACATCATCCCATAGCCTTTATTAGTGTTTATTTTCAGCTATAAAACTACTGAGGGGGGCTATAGCGAATCCTTGCATTGTAAAACAACGTGATAGAGATTTGGTGATGGGAAACTAGGTGTGCCGAAATAAAAATCTGAAATAAATTCCCCCTTCTAATTAAATAAAGACATCCAAGGACTAAGTCCACAGACCTGGAAGCCGGAGGACAATTGCAGAACAGCACAAAATACTATCACTATTTTCCCTGTCAGCTTAAGGTGTTAGAGATTGTTTACTTCAGTTCAGCAAGTGCAAGCACTAATAGCCCACAAGACAAGACCGATGCAGACACAGACACAATGCACTATTTGCATCTCAAAAATAGTATTACGAAGCAGTGATGGCAAGAGGAAGGAAAAAGTAAGACACTTAATTCAGGGCCTCAGGAAAATATTCAGAGTTCCTGTGCTGATGGAGACAAATGGGCAAGATGGCCAAAACGAATCCCATTAAAGAAAAATTTTAGTACTTTTTTTTAAAACCCCTCTGAGCTGACATTAAAAGGTTCACCTAGAAATAAAACTAGAATACAGTGCCCACAAAATGCAGTTGGACACAATGTATGAATAGAACTGCATTAGATATAGGCTGCAGCCCCCCACAACCTGGGAAGAAAAAGGGGACAGAGTGCTTGGGGCCCAGAGGCTGAGAGGGACCCACAATGATGTCCTTAGGGGGGCCCGAATGAGATTGCCACCCCCTACTGAATATGATATAATTCATTTATAATTATATATAGGTATTCCCATTTAAGAGCAAATATGTTAATTTGGGTGCTTTTCATACAAAATATTGATAAATTCCAAGACATTATTGAGGCAAAAACATGACGGTGGTATTTCAAGCTTCAACTGCTCCCAAAGTAGGAAAATCCCCTAAGGAATTTACATACGGGTAAGGGGGCATGATTAATTACGATAATTTTTGCCAAAACATTTTTGTATGTAATTAATCACAATTTAATTGACAGTACTAATTTGATAAAATATCAAACCAAGTGACATTTGTTTTAATGAAAAATAGCACAAACACAGTTTCTCGAAAATAAGTATGGATTTTAAATTATAATATGGTAAATATACTGTTGAAATTAAAGGCAGCAGTACTTAGATGAGTGGCTTTAAACCCAACACAATATTTGATATAATATTTGAATAACCTGTATGGACTGAGTCGGAGATATTTCCTATGGTATTACTGCTGTAATTTTGACAATCTTTTTTATAAATAGAAATTAGGTTGATATTAAACGAAAAACATTTTGTTTCCAGGATATTCCGGATTATATATGTTCTTAATAAACAATAGTTACCGAAGGGTTTATTTGTATTATTGGTTTATTTGGGTTATTTGTCAAGTTGTGTGTGTGTGTGTGTGTGTGTGTGTGTGTGTGTATATATACCATATAGTATAGGGACCATTTCTCACCTTTTTCAATGATTTTAATCCAGTTGTTTATATATTTATAAATACATAAATAATAAATGGTTACACTTTAGTATAGGGACCAATTCTCACTGTTAACTAGTTGCTTATTAACATGCCTACTAGTATTAACATATTGGCTGTTTATTAGTACTTATAAAGCCCATATTCTACATTCCTAATCCTACCCAATATCTAAACTTAAAAACTACCTTACTAACTATTAATAACCAGCAAATTAGGAGTTCATTGAGGCAACAGTCATAGTTAATGGTTTGGTAATGGCAAGAATTGGACCTTCAAATAAAGTGTGACCATATAATTTTAAGACATTCTGCAGACCCCACTAAAATGAGCTTGGGGGAAAAAATACCTAAAAGTAACTGCAAAAATGGACAAGAAAAGTAGTTCTGAGAAAAATTTGCTGGCACTGTGCAGATGCAGCTGGTTTGATATTTTGTTATCTAATGCAATGGCATTCATACATCAACTGTGACTTAAGATTCCAAATACATTTTCAAGAGGGGAAAAAATAACACTTATATAGCAAAAATCCAAGGTTTATTGAGAGCAGGTTTAGTAACTGTGGTATCTGCAGATACATGTGAGATGAGAAGAACAGAAGCCCACACCCACTCAATGAGAGCTGGCCAACTGGAGTTTTGGCTTGTCACGGTGTCCATTGGGACACAGCGCCCCCTTATTTAATAATCACAAACAACAAGTGGAACTGCAATGGCTTGGGGTTGTAATACTACTGAAAATGGTTGAAAACTCAACGAATAATATATATGAGAAAAATAACGGAAACTGGTCTAACTTCAAGAGATGAGAATAAGAGATAAAGAGAGAGGGAGCGAGACAGCCTTGCTCATGTTCTCATGCACAGACGAGCCAGCTCTTACAAAAGAGTTGGCATAAAATTTCTTGGAAGTAAATCTGATTTCATTAAGTTAACCGAAGTGCCTTTTAGGTTATATCACTAATCTGCAACTCATTCCTCATCTGACCGGTCTCATCCTTCCCTTCTGAAACCCAACTACCGCTGTGGCCTTTTCCCTCATCCCTTTTCTCCTCCCAACCCCTCCTTCTATGCTTTCTCGCTCTGGTATTGAAGGTGCAGCTGAAGCACATCTTCCTGCGAGACCCTTTCCCAGCCCTCGCCATGGACGCGGTAGAGGTTGACTTGGCCTCCGCTGTAGGCGTCACGGTAAGTAGCTTGGTAGATGGCGCGGCGGCCCAGGTCGCATGCTTCTTCTACAGTCAGGTCGTAGCGAAGACCGCTGTCGACGACACCGTAGGCGTACATGGATCCCGAACCAACTGCGAACAGGTCTCCGCACACTCGGTTGCCCTCAGAGTCCACGTAGTAGAGCCCTGCGATCAGAGGAAAGCAAAAGGAAGAGGAAGAAAGAGACCATCAGCACTGCTTTACGTCCTGCTGTGTTAAAAAGGCAGGCGCCTCCACGGAAGATGAAAGTGTTAAAAAAAGCAAAACCCTTCAGAGAGAATTCAGTAGATCGATGTAATGTTATGAACACAAGGTTATAAATAATGTTCTGAACAACACAAGGTCAAATCTATCTCGGTGAGTACATGTGAGAAAAGGAATCATGGGAAACGGGTGGTTGGCAATTTTTTCTGACAGCTGGATGCTTGGTAGCTGGAGGTTGGTCTGGGGGGTACCTAGGGGCTTCAGCATGAAAGCAGGTTAAAAGAAAAAAAAAAAAACCCCGGGAAGCGTTAAAGAAGGAGAGCTTACATTTAGCTAATATTTAGTAGGCTAAGGACAAGCAGGAATGGGCAAACATAGCATCCACCCTGGGGCACCGCCTGAGGTGCTATTGATCGCTCTAAAAACAACAGAATTAATTATTGATCTATACCTGAAGATCCGACCTCTCACCAAACATGATGGACGAGGCAGATCACAATCGGTGAACTGATGGGTCACTGTATGGTCCAGCTGCAGATCACATCAAGGTTTCAAGTGTCCGTGAGGCTGCGTAATGACGAAGCTCACGCCTACAGTAACGGTGACTACGTCCCATCGGTGCGCCAGCAGAACCAGGCTGCAGATGGACTGTTAACTGGATAGTTCACCCAAAAATGAATTATCATTTACTCACCTTTTGGAACACAAAAGACATTCTGAAGAATTTTTCGACTGTTTTTGTCCACACAATGAAAATCAATGGGGTCATTTGGACAAAAAAAAAAAAAAAAAAAATTTTTTTTTTTCTTTCATTTAAAATATTAATAAATAATCTACATCTTCTCATTTTTAATGACCAAACCTTTCTTGGTGTGTTTTCCAGAGGTAATTCGGACAAGACTAAGAGAAGAGGGAAGCAAATACAAGTACTTCTTTCAGACGAAAAAACTTTTCTTTTGTGTTCTGCAGAGGAAAGAAAGTCATCCTGGTTTGGAACCACATGACAGTGAGTAAATGACTTTCTGGATGAGAGGGTGAATAAATGTCAAATCTCAAATTATTGCAACGTTTGCAATGACTGAATGATTTTTATACTTGATAAAGTTACAAAAAGTCAGTTTTAAATTAATAGTAACAAAATTTGCTAAAAATGTACTCATGCACCCTCAGACCATCCAAGAGTTCTTCCCTCGGAGTTCAAACAGCTCATAAAAACATCACAATATTCCACAACATTCCACTCCAATCAATTAGTCCACCAATTAATGTCTTTCATCATTAAAACATTTTTTAACTTCAAACCATTGCTTCCAGCTAAAATATAAAACTCCTCATATTATTGAGGCGGTCCTTGGCTAATGAAAGCTGCTAGAGTCCAGACCTTCTGCCATCAGTCTGAAGGTCTGGGTACGACAGACTAGTTTGAAGAAAACTAGCAGTAAAAAATCTGAGACATTCTGAGACAATCTGAAACATTCCTTTTATACTCTTTAAACTTTAAGTAAAGTTCAAGGACCCCAAATTGGCTCAGAGAGACATTTTAAGGACAATCTTAGGAAGTGAGGCACAGAAGACTTCAACAAGCAAATTACACCCTCTGAACGCATCGTTAGCGCGACCTGATAATCGTTACAGCACCCTGAATATATGCACGGTAATTTACCATTTTGTAGAGCCAAGTGTGACGACTAAAAACAGGTTAAAAAATGCAATAGGACGTCTCTTTCACCCGCAAGGCACCGGTTCTCATTAAGAGCGGAGTACGAGGGTACTTCAGCAGTCTGGGATTTTTTTTTTTCCACGTACAACACCTGGGATCGTTTTATCACACAACGGACGTTGCATGCTACCTGCATCACTGAGAAAGGGTGGGGAAGTAAAGGTGAACAAAAGAGGCACTTGAATTTGCGAGCCCTCGTAAAGCAGAGGCGCTGAAGCGGGAGCGATGTCGGGATGTTAAGACAGCCTGGCTCCTTGCACTCCATCACAAAGGTGACAGGCAGTTAGATGTGCTAGACTAAAAATGTGGCTGTCTGCATGTATGAACGGCAACTTCAAGACAAAAGGAAGGCATATACACAGGTGACTGGCTGACTGCTTTGCTGATGGTCACACAGACATGGTTGGTTAAGAGTGCCGCTGATGAGAGCAGCTGCTCAGAAAGCAAAGCAACTCTGTGTACAGACATCTAAGCATGCATGCACATCGGCAGTCCGCGTCTACACAACATGAAACGGTGCCAGTTGAAAGAGCTTCATACGTCTTTGAGATTGCGGTCCTGCTGATATTTGCAGCTCCTGGCAGGACAGAAGATGTCTATACTTTCACAGTAGGTGCACAACAAGCTATCGGAGTACAAATTATAAGTAGATACAAAATGAATGTGTAATGTAGAAATATACAGAAAGAGAATAGCGATCATAACGGTTGCTTTAACAGGAACCGGATCACTTTTGAAACACTTGAACTACTTTGGACCAGTGGGTCACGTCGGGCTTCTAAACACCCGTCTCTCAACATGCATCTCATGTAACATCACAGAAAGGCAAAAAGTCATTTTCCAGAACATTTACTTACACTGTTCCTTGCTGGTTCAATGATCTTCCCAACCCTATTCAGAACACAGAATCCCTGACAATATTCAAGAGACAGCTAAAAACTAATCTCTTCTGAAAACTGGGGGGAAAAAATTACTCTATGCTTTCTCTTTACCTTAATCCCTCCCTTCTCTAGCGTGCACTATTCTAAAAGATATATGTAACTTTGTATTACATGCACTTCTGGTGTTTAATTGCCTCTTTATGATCAATCGCTTGTTGTATTCCTCACTTGTAAGTCACTTTGGATAAAAGCATCTGCTAAATGAATAAATTATGACCACTTCATATCATGCATGCTGGCAACAGTGTTATTTTAGCACATTTAACATTTACATTTTCAGTTTTACTTTTAATATTAGTTTAAGTTTTAGCAATTTTGCGGTGTTTTTATTTATAAAAAATATAAATAATTAGTTTAATACAAATATATAAAATACATATATACATATATATATATATATATATATATATTCAATTTATTCACTATTTATTGAAATCCAAGAGCCTTCTGACCCTGCATAGACAGCAATGGAACTACCATGTTCAAGGCCCAGAAATGTAGTAAGGACATCGTTAAAATAGTCCATGTGACATCAGTGGTTCAACCGTAATTTTATGAAGCTACGAGAATACTTTTTGTGTGCAAAGACAACAAAAATAATGACTTTATTCAAAAATTATTCTCTTTTGTGTCAGCCTTCGCTGCGCATTCACAAGAGAATCACATGGTATTAAAATATCTTAATTTGTGTTCAAAGGATGAACGAAGGTCTTACGGGTTTGGAACAACATGAGGGTGAGTAATGACAGAATTTTCGTTTTTGGGTGAACTATCCCTTTAATTGCTAACCGACTCCAAGTAGAACTTTTGGACCCCACTGTGATCGAATCACAAACTGGACCACAATTACATGCATTTTGCACTGTCCACTTGTTGTCAGATCACTTGACATGAATTTTGATACTAGAGCACATAAGAGCACATAACCAGCAAAGAGATAATGCATCTGTAGAGCGCCTCTAGCACTACACTAACAGGCTAAAACTCATCGATGGTGGTCTCAACAGAAGTTGCACTGCGTTAAATTTTATTATCACAATCTTTGTCAGAATCATCTCACTTTTTTTACAAAATGTATTCCTCACGGCAAACAAACACTTTATCACAGGAATAAGAGTGTCAGACACTGTTAACACAGTCAATGTGGCCTGTTTAATCAAGATTGATTTAATTTGCAAAACATTTACCTCTCTATTGAATCACAACGCATTGTAACAGCCAGTGCCGCTATCGAACTTCTAACAGCAATCATTACTTGCAAAATTGATTGGAAGATTTACCACATACTTTTGTTTGGCTGCCAGGCAAAGGTTGTTTTTTTGGGACCATGCTAGTCTGTCACCGCATAAACCCCAATTGATCTAGCTGACGGGATTTTGCATGCGACACGACTGCCCTGGCTGAGAGCCGCGTCCATCATGTTGTTGCTGCCTCCTGGCCCACAGTCACCGGCATATTGATTTCCCATTACTGTGTCACTGTGCAAGGCCTCTTTAAACACATCGGCTGTGATGTAGAGTGGTTACAGCACCCCCGGTGTCTGCAATTGAGGGATGCATCACTATCAGAGAGCGCTGTGTCGCCATCTGGTGGTACTGGCCAAAACGAATCCCTGGTTTGCACACTCATGCTTACGAACCGCATTTTGTTGCAGTAATTTATCTTAGTCTTTCTCAGTCAGTTTTGCTTCATTTAGGCTTGCACACCTCATGTTAGGAAGAAACAAAATGAACTGAAAACGGGCAGAGCTCACCAAGACCATTAGATTAAAAGCCTCTTATAGATCTAAATGCAACGTCCAATTAAGAAAAATGGACATCAGTCATGGTCTAGAAAAGTAAAGGCCTAGAGAGTCCATTAATGTGCAAGTTTGTGATTCATCTCAAAAACAAAGTCATGGTGCTGCATATTAAAACCAGTTTCCGGCTACTGCTGGAGACTGGCAGGAAATTATGGTGATAGAGCTATTTTTACAAAGCTATTTCAGCAGAAAGGAAGGGTCAAATCAACAGAGAAAATAATCACATAATTTGTCCCCATGCCAACTGCCGCAATCAGTCAAAACATAAATGGCACAAAAAAGGTCCCTTCAGACAGTCTTTTACATTACAAAGCTATTGCAGATGCAGACAGATTACAGCTGGAATGTTTCTAATCAATGCTTTTGATGGAAGCAGAAAGGAATCGAAAGCAGAAAAACACCTTTAATTAAAAGCAAATATTATTGTAAATAGCATTATGAAATATGTAATTAGCATAATCCTCAGTCCCAGGGCTCACAGAACAATTTTAAAAGAGAATATTAAGCAGGTCGGATGTATGAATAGCTGTGGAACTTTTTACATGAAATGTTTATATTTACGACAATGTTAATGTTAATTCTTTACATTTTATTTTCCTAGAAATTATACTATGGTTAGTTATACGATTAACAACAAAATCAATAACAATATCAAAGCATAACTACGGCAAATCTGAAAAAATAAGCAGTACTAAATTATATTGGCATATAAATTATATAGCCTACATTTCTATTATACATAATATAATAAAATTATATTATTTCATAATAAAATTGATAATAATATAATAAAATTGATAATAATATAATAAAATTATATTATATATAATAAAATATATAAGAATACATTAACACATCTGTACATATGTATTATATAAGCATTTTATAATTTTATTGTAAGAAGCTTAGTAGTACTAAATCAATTATATTAATTATATACTAGGGTTGTGCCGATAAATGATAGTATCATGTATCGACGATAGTCAGAGATATCGCTGATGCCTCTGATGATAGCAAGACGTTTGTTATTATTATCATCACCAGGCTAGTAATACTATTAGGGCTTATTTGTTCCATAATATGTCTTTTTCCACATTTTTACAGTGTTGCTTCTAACCAATAACACACGATGCCGTTGAGTTTATGAATACAATGGCCAATCAGATGCATTCAGATGAGTCATCCCTGAAACAGCGGAGTTTTGTTGTTCAGCGCACGCTGACTGAATTCTGCCTCACAAATTCTCATCATAAACAACAAAGTGATGTACGTGCGATGCAAGTATAAGAGATTTATTCATCATACAGTGTAGACAGCTTTACTGAATAGTGGGAGTGTTTTTAAAGTGCATATACTCGTGCTAGTCTGAAGTCAGTTATGATGTACTTTTTGATAATGTAAATATTCTTTGCTCGTTTTCTGTAGCTGCTTTTTGAAAAACTGAGGAAATGTAAGCCTAATAATTAGTAAGTTAAATACAAATTCAGTCATTTTTAAAACATTAGACTTCTTTTAGCCTTACGCTAGAGTTGGTTCAATTTCCAGCAATAAAACTAAGTAAATAAATAATTACATAAATTTGCATGATAATATTGTGTATCGGCGATCTCACAGGCTGATGGTAGGACAATATGACAACTGAGTATATCGCCCAACACTGTTATATACATTTTACCAGTATGTATTATGTAAATTAAATATCTAGCCAAATGCATAAGGCCCAAAAATGATTCTGACCAATTACAAGAACTTTGTCTAATCGTGTTTTGATCCACTTAAAGGTTCACCCAAAAATTAAAAAAAATCTACCACCATCATTTTCTTTCTTCTGTTGATTTAAAAAAAAAAAGATATTTGAAGAATTTTGGTTACAAAAATAAACAGCTGAGGGTAGCCATTGACTTCCATAGTATGGAGGGGGAAAAAACTATGGAAGTCAACTGCTTTGTTACCGACATTATCAAAATATCTTCTTTTGTGTTTAGCAGAAGAAAGAAACTTATACAGATTTGGACAACTTGAGGGTGAGTAAATGATGATAGAATTTTTATTTTTGGATGAACTGTCCCTTTAAAACATGCATATGATATTCACCTGGTCCTCTTTTGTCCCAGCCGCAGACCATCGTGCCCATGCTGAGCCCCATGCCTTTGTACTGATACACCATGTTAGCCAGTAGCTTGGAGGCAGCCGCCACTGAAATGCGCTCTTTGTTGCGCAGCTCATAGATGCGACACTGCCTGGCCAGCAGACGCTCCCAGAAGCTGCAGTCCGCGGCTCCTCCAGCCATGGTGCCAAGCAGGTACGGGTTGATTTCAATCACCTTCTTCACTGTCTGTGAAGCAATGTAGGAACCGGCTGTTGCTCTGGAATCCACAGCCACAATGACGCCATGCTGAAACTGAGACAGATGAGAGAAATATAAATTTGAAGCTTGCAAATTTAATATTAATTGAGAAAAAGACAACTTTTTATATTTTACTTTACATTCTATTACTGTTCATTCTATTACTTTACAATGACAAAATGCTGATGTAGAATGACTTTTAATCTAAAAATTTATCAAGTAGTCAAGGTTTGGCTGGTTAGTGTGGTACAGTTAGATGGGTAGGTTATGAAACTAAACCATTTGGTCCTATAAATCATCCTTCTCCACTGAGACCCATTCAAAAGTTGCTATGTACAGATTTTTGTTTTCATGCATAAATCATGAATATTTACTTAGAGCATTTTACAAATTCTTTATTTTGTAAAAATTCTTCTAAAAGCATAAAATAGAATTATATTGTCCTGTCAGAACAAGTTCACACGTCACTATTATCATGCAGAGTCCCATCAGACTTAAATAGAATAACACTTGATGATATTAATAAGTCATAATTTGTTTGTTCTAACTAATAGATTAACACAGGCTTATGAATAATCTATTAAGTCAAAGCAATTATCCAATCAGTGCCACTGAGGACAATAAACGACAAAGTAAACCTTAACAGATTTAACATGTAAACAGTGCGGAGTTGTGATTATATAACACATTTGTCAGTAACTCGCTTCAGTACTAATAAAAAATTATTAACTGTAATAATAAAGTAGATTAAACATGTCACTTCTGTCTGCATAACTAACACAGGCTTATGAATAATCTATTAAGTCAAAGCAATTATCCAATCAGTGCCACTGAGTAGGGATGGGCGTATCGATACAAAGTATCGATATATCGATACTGACGCGAGTATCGAAAGTATCCATACTCAAACAAAAATATCGATACTAGGGTGCATTTTATTTACCAGTGGTTTTGTTTATTTAACAACAATAATAATAATAATGGTATCGTATCGAAAACAAAATAAGGGGTATCGCCCATCCCTACCACTGAGGACAATAAACGACAAAGTAAACCTTAACAGATTTAACATGTAAACAGTGCGGAGTTGTGATTATATAACACATTTGTCAGTAACTCGCTTCAGTACTAATAAAAAATTATTAACTGTAATAATAAAGTAGATTAAACATGTCACTTCTGTCTGCATAAGATTCTGACAAGATCATCTACTTATGAACCAGCAACAACTGGACACTATAGGCCACTATGAAAAAGCTAAATTATTTGCTGTGTCATTAACATCATCTGTCTTATGATTCTTACAATCCTCACTTTGGTATTTTGGAGCAAAGCTGGAGTCTGTATGTATTAATTCTGTAATCAATCTACATTTAAACATTCATACAGACATTAACACACTTCGAAGCTCTATAAAGACGTTTTAATTATTTATAACACAAAAGTTAAATGATTAGACACTGCTGTACTTAGCGACTGTGAGTAACTAACAGGCTCTTGCTCTTCTGTCTACCATTCAGCCTTTTTCTATTCATTACAAACACTGTATAAACATAACAGCAGTTTTATAAAAGACACAAGCTTCTGCATGTCATAACTGTTATGATATGAAGATTTCAATTGTAAGGTGGAGTAAATCGTTTTTAAACTGGCCAGATGCTATTAGCTCCTGGCTAAACGAACTCACTTTGAATGCTAAGGTGGTCGTGCCGTGAAGAAACTCGATTTTTCTCTCCGGTTCATCCCCTTCACCCAGCGGTTTCACGGCGAAGTTCAGACTATCATCCAACGCTTCTCCAAAGCCGAGATCTGTCTGGTTAAGGCCACAACCGTGCGCAAAAGGCTGGTTAAAGCGATCTGCAAAATCCGCAGACTCACTCCGCAACACACTAGACAGCGCCATGTTTCAGATAATAGTCAGAGAAGCGGCGTTCCGCTTCTTGTATGTTACATGTTGAAGATGCAAACGATTGTGGCGCCGCATCGCCATCTAACGCCTAGGATGAACGACAGTAGCGAAACACTTGTTCGAAGCAATTGAATTTTTACTAAATATGCCTCAACTACTCATACAAGTGGCTGACACTCTGTAATTTGTTATAGTGACAGTTTTTGGTTTGAAAAAAAAAAACATTACAGTACATTGAATGTCACAGCTTGATAAGTGCTTACACTGACACCATTCCTAACACTGTCAACAAATGTAGTTTTATTTTGTATTTGATGTATACCTCACAGTTTTACCAAACTAGTTCTTAATGCCTTTTGTTTAATAAAAAAAATCATACCAAAATAAGTTTAAAATCACGTTTTTTTTTTATAACCAGTGACTTCCTACAAACACTTTTAATGAGGAAAAAATGTACCATTAGTAGACCTATCAATGGGTCTCTGAGGAATGGATTTATTTATTTATTGACTATCTTTTTTGCTATCAAATTGTTAATTCTTTTTATATTTATCCAGATGTTTAGACTTCTTAAAAATCGGTTGTGTCATTGATTTCTCAAAATATTGCTGAGTCACACATTAATTTCTATATAAGGCAACGTTTATTGCACATGTAGACTACATTGTCAATAATTGTACACAGCCTAAATTTGTTGACTCATATTAATAAAAAAAAAGCAGAATAACAATATCAAGGAAAATCCAATTTGTTTAGCCTATGATTACAAATGTTTATCTGAAAAAATGCATTGTATTGACGACTATTTACTTTTTTGGTTGAAATACAGTTTATGAAAACTTATTTTCTTCCCCTGTGCATTGTGGATTCTTTTTTATCTGTACTATCAAGTGAACCGCCTGACATTGAAACTGCTATTTCTGTCCATCACGTTCACATTCCATCCATGTATTTTTGTATTCCCACAGTTTGTGTCCCTATCCGCAGTGTACTGAATATATATCACCTTCCCCTAGCTCATCCCCCTCTCTTTTCTGTCTCTCTTTCTCCCTCTCCTTGATCTTCTTCCTCTTTCTCTCCCTCTCTCTGTAGTACTCCTCCTTCAGATCTTCTCTGTCTCTGCGTCGCCAGCCATGGGCAGTGATGTGGAAAAGGTCTACATTATTCCCAGAGTAGGCATCCCAGTGAGTGGCTCTGAAAACAGCCTCCCGGGCCAGTGCCACTGCCTCATCCACAGTCATCCCCCATCTCCAGCCATCATCAAGAACAGCGTACGCATAGGGTGACCCTGAGCCCACTGATATTATCTCTCCTTTCAGTTGCAGGCCATCACTGCAAACATAGCATACCCTGGGACCAGACCGTCCTCCAAAAGACAGAACATTTTTTGTATTTTGATCTGACACAGCTGGATTCAGTGCATAAGCGTCTTTTAAAATCTCCTGCTCATTTACAGAGGCCATTTTCACACTACTTAGAGCTGAATCTGAAATTGTGGATACACCGGTATCCTGTTCCACTGCTTCCTTAACCTCTGCAATTTCCATGCAGGAATTTAGGGTTTCCCGAGTTTCTTCTCCATCCCATCCACATAGAGTAGCTGCAACACACACATTAGTGCCTTTGAACGGATGAAGCATCATGGAAAGCAGTTTTGCAGCTCCATTGATGCTTAGTCTCTTGCGATGGCGAAGCTGGTAAAGCCTCATCTCACGGGTGAGGATCCGTTCCCACAACATACAATCGGCACCGCTGCCCGAGGTGTTGACCACCAGGTGAGAGTGGATGGGCATAATCTTTTGACTTGTCGGGCAGCAAATTAGACCCTTACAGCTGGCGCGAGTGTCAGCAGCGGCTATCACGCCATCCTGAAATATAAAACCCAAAGTTGTGGTACCGTGTGATAGCTGAAAGGGTTGCTGATGAGGTGACAGACTGGAGAAAGTTGAAGAGAAAAGAGTTGGCACTCTGTTTTTTCTGCTGCACTGCTGAGGGGGGAAAAGAAAATGAAAAGCACTATCTCTATCAAACTCAGATGCTGTCCTCCACATGTATCCCATCTCATTTGGTGGGTAAGTGCATGGGCCGGTGTCATCAAGGGTGTCCAGGAAACCACAAACATCCTGAAGAGCCATTTTCCATTTTTAGTGAGATAACGGTTTGTAAGTTGGTGCAACGTTGAGCCTTGGAAGCTGCACTTACAGAAAAGACCCCTCTGAGACTAGGATTTTTATAGGAGGTGGAGAGTATTCACACCCACACACATACATACACATGTGATGTCTCAGCAAAAATCTTTGCTATAGGCTATATCCGATATGCTTCTGTGGTCACCACTGAGGCACAACAATGAAGCGACTCTCAAACATAATCATGAAAATGCTGAGATGAGAGCATAACGAGCTCAGTCTGTTTTTCCACACACATACAAGGACTCTAATGCAAACATCACAAATTATTTAAAAAAAGGTTTATGCATGGAAGTAAACCATATAACAACACTAAATTCAAACGAAATGTGTAACTGACCATGGAACAATTTAATGGTTTGATTTGGGACAATGCTTTTGTTTATGGGTGTATATGCAAGTCTTTTTTCATAATTTATAAATATTCGATTACAACCATTACAATAAAGTATGTTACATGGTGGAACAGCAATGGTTTAAGACTGTATGGTTTTGATTCGTAAATTATTTCCTCCAACCAGGCTCAAAACAAAGTGTAAACAGGGTCGCACACTGGACAAGAAGAGGTGTCTTTAAAAGTTGAATACATTGTTAATAAAATTACAATACTCACTGAGAATTTTGTTTTTATTTTATTTTATTTTATTATATCCACAAACAATGATTGACTGTCATAAAACTGAAAGCTTTCAATTCAATGTTTCAGAATCATAAAAGTATTTAAATCTAAGTGATGTCTTGTTAACAATTTGGTTAATTTCTAATATTCTGGGGTAAGAGATTTGAGTAACTAATTCAATCTGTTTTGGAAAGTATTCTGCTTCAGGCAACAGTAAAGCCTTCAAATATTAGGCTATTTGTAAAATTCCAGGGCAAAATCCATTTAGCACACGGTTTTAATCTGGAAATAAGCAGCGCTCAGTTTAATTAAAATAATTCGTTGCCGTGGTTATCGCTACTCAATTCACGATGAATGATCCTGTTGTATCAAAAACAAGCTGCTTATTACATAAACGACTCATCCCCTTAAAACTAATTAAACGTTCTCTCAAAGTTATTGGAGCAAATTCGAGCTCGTCATCGAGCGCATCGTCTCTTTCTGCAGCATCACGTCTGCCCATAGTCTGATCTCGTTCTGAAGTCTCGCGAAGGTCGCACGAGAAAGAGAAGCTGCGTTTCAGGCAATCGCCATTTTGGATCTATCCCCGCGTTGTTGCTAAAATGCAAGCAGTCTTATTTTGAGCCAACATGACATCAGTTTCTCCATAGTCCTGTATGAGTTTCATCTTCCCTCCCATCCCGTAACTAACGATGGCGTCCGGCGGTGCAGGTAGCAGGGTCTCCTGCGGGAGAGATTTGAGTTGTGTTCCCGAAGTGGCGGATACCCTCGCTGCGGTCGCCAAATTAGGGTAAGCAAAGAGAGCTTTCGGCGCAGTAAACAGTCAAATTATATCAGCGTTGTGGCTAAATGAAGTGAAGTGTGCTCAGTTTGAAGCTGGCTCGGCTAGGTCGCTGCACGTGATGCACATGAGCATTTGCTAGCTGTTAGCGGCTTCTTCGGATTTGCTTTTAACTCACACATGAGTTTGCACACCAGTTTTGGGCAATAACATACAGCTTTCTTTTGAAACCTTTAAAACACCTGCAGAATAGGTGTTTATCATTTTTACTGGTTCGTTTTAGTATTTAATAGATGTTTTTGAATGGATTCATTCAGTCTTATTGATGAGAAATATTCGTTTTCCAGCACAAAAATGGTTACAGAAGTATTACATCTGTTCAGTTATTATTCAAAGTGGAGGTGATTAGACATGCATGCATTATAATTATTCTGACCTCATTGACTGATGGGATTGTGAACCTGATAGGAAAGGCTGATCATTTGACATCTGAATAATCTAACGTTAATCTGAATCATAGTATTATACATTATTTATCACTGATTACACACTTTTGTAAAGCCATACAAGCTTGGTGTTTTTGAAATATGTACTGATGTACTTTATTGATTCCTAAGCAGATATCAATAAAGTCTAAGACAAAATTGGAAGACCCTTCCCTTTTGATGACATTGACGAATTTTGGCATTTATTTTAAACGTGTATAACAACTAATATCTGTTTTCTTTGTGTGCTCTGTTTGTCTAAATCCATATCATTCTGTCCAATAGCTTTGATTTCCTGTGCATGCCGCTGTTCCACCCGCGGTTCCGACGGGAGTATGAACTGGACCCTGCTAAGTCACGACCCGGAGCCCAAACACGCTCTGACCTGCTGTTATGTGGCAGAGGTGAAATATAAGAAACTCTGTGCATATTAATATTCACTCATCCAATACTGCGAATTGAGAAAAAAGTTTTTGAGGTTTTCAAGCTCTTAAAGTAATCATGTCATTAGAAAATTTTCTTGATCTATTTTAGTGATACATCAGTGTACTTTGAAAAAATATTCTAACTGTAAGAACTCAAAAACATCTTTTCTTTGTGTGCTCTGTTTGTCTAAATCCATATCATTCTGTCCAATAGCTTTGATTTCCTGTGCATGCCGCTGTTCCACCCGCGGTTCCGACGGGAGTATGAACTGGACCCTGCTAAGTCACGACCCGGAGCCCAAACACGCTCTGACCTGCTGTTATGTGGCAGAGGTGAGATATAAGAAACTCTGTGCATATTAATATTCACTCATCCAATACTGTGAATTGAGAAAAAAGTTTTTGAGGTTTTCAAGCTCTTAAAGTAATCATGTCATTAGAAAATTTTCTTGATCTATTTTAGTGATACATCAGTGTACTTTGAAAAAATATTCTAACTGTAAGAACTCAAAAACATCCTACCTAGTCCAAAAAGACCTTTTGTTGAAGCAAAACATCTGCATCTTTCTGATGTCAGATAGAAACAAAACTACTAATACATGGCAGGCCTACGTTTGGACATCAGTAATGACTATTTGGTATTCAGAAATGTGAGTGCTTTTTTTTTTTTTTTTTTTTAGAGGAAATTATGTAGATAATATTGATCCTGAGAAAAGAAGAATTAATGATAACAGTAAAATGTTGTAAAGTCACATTTCACATTCAAAGACAGACTTAAAAGCAATCTATTAAATTTTAAGGGTCAGAAAGAGAGTGGAAAGTGGTTATGAAACCTAAATCACGACTATTTTTGCCACAAAAACCTTAACTAGCTTTTAAACGATCCTCAGGGGACAAAATAAAATGATTAAAGATTGTATGATGAGACCCTCTAATAGCAGTTCCTCATTAAATTCCTTTTTTTCTTTCTTTCTTTTTTTATTAAAGATTGGATAGCTAACTTGTTCTCCATTTTCTTTATCCATGATACTCTGTGCAATTACATTTACAGAATTACACTTAAATGTTGCGATTGTATCTTTGTAATAATAAGATGTCCATTCTTTCTTATTAGATTGGAACACACTTATCGTGGGAAAGCTGTCACCCTGGATTGAGACAGACTCAGAGCTGACCACAGAACGCAGGAATTCAGAAGAAGTATGTTCATAATGTCTTATTTTTTCATTAACTATATTTTTGAGGTCCTTTTTTTCTCCTTCTAAATATATTCCTTGTCTAATCTGATATTATTAATTTGCTGTAACTTATTGTTGTGTCACAAATAATGCGTACACATGTGCACAATATCTTGACCCTTTTGGGTTTTTGATAAGGGCTTCTTCAAACAGCAGTGTCATTGTAGCTGTAATCAAGTCTCGGATGCAAACGAGGGCCATTTATAGGAGATCTGCCCAACAAAGAGGAAGCCGAGCAGATTTGTTGTTTATTTTGATGTGATCACTCCTTCTAATGTGTTTTGTGCCCTTGCTGCAGGCGCTGGTACAGGAGCTCAATTTCTGTGCTTATCTGGGGCTGCCAGCTTTCATGATCCCCCTAAGGGGTCCGCACTGTGCCAACCTGGCTCGAATCCTGCTTAACCACATCCACACAGGACACCACTCTTGCATGGTAATGGAAATCTGTAGCATAGAATGAAAACAAATATGCTCAGAACACACCATTATTTGTTTATGTATACACCCTGGGCCTATCATTTACACATAATCTTCGTTCCTGCTGCTTCCATTTCTTTTCTTTTTTTTTTCGCTGATGGAATTTTAATTAGTGGTATGAGTAGACTGTTTATCATTTTAATTTGCTGTCCAGCTATAATTTAAAATAATACTGTATGCATTATCCTTAAAGATGACATGATCTGATCCTTTTGCAATATTTATTAGGCTGTCATTTTAACGCATTAATGTGCTTAATTATATTTCAAAATAATGTATTTTCACAAAAATATTAAAGGGGTCATATGATGCGATTTCAAGTTTTCCTTTCTCTTTGGAGTGTTACAAGCTGATTGTGCATAGATAAGATCCCTGAAGTTGCAAAGACTAAAGTCTCAAAACCAAAGAGATATTCTTTATCAAAGTTAAGACTCTGCCAAGTTCATTTTCACAGGGGCAAACCGCCACAGTGAGAAAGACATGCGCTCGTACCTGCAGTATCTGGAGTACCTCAACCAAAACCGTCCAGCGCCTAATGCCTATGAGCTCTTCGCCAAAGGCTATGAAGATTACCTTCAGTCACCACTGCAGGTCTGACTGTCAAAGGATAAACATTTTGCCTAGTGAGTTTTTCAGCACATTATTGATTCTTTAGGTTTCAATTATGCTAATGGAATGCCTAATTGTTTTATCAGCCTTTAATGGACAATTTGGAATCACAGACGTATGAAGTTTTCGAAAAGGATCCCATCAAATATTCTCAGTACCAACAGGTGAGATAAAATAATTTGGTAATGGAAAGCAGAATCTATCATCATTTGGTCACCAGTTATTTATTCTCATTAGTGGTGTTTGTTGTATAATTATGCAGTAGCTCATGTTAAATGATAAAATGGGCAAAAAGGGGGAACTGTTTTGAACAGAAAGATGCTCTCCAAACCTGCATTTATTTGATCCAAGGTACAGCAAAAACAGTACAATTTTGAAATATTTTTACTATTTAAAACAACTGTTTTCTATTTGAATATAGAAAATGCTGAAAATTTAATTTTGATCACAGGAATAAATTACAATTTTAAATATATTCAAATAGAAAGCAGTTATTTTAAATAGTAAATATATTTCACAATATTACTTTTGCTGTACTTTGGATCAAATAAATGCTGGCTTGGTGAGCAGTAGAGACTTTTTTAAAAAAACATAAAAAATCTTACTGTTCAAAAACTTTTGACTGGTATAGTGTACATTTATTCATTTAGCAATTAATTTTTTCATTTGGGTTCGTAAGGAAATACCCTAGCAAACGCATAGAAATGTGTAAAAAACACTTAAGCAAATGTTTGAGCACCTTAGCATTCATATACATTACTGTTCAACAGCTTGGGGTTAGTAAGATTTGTTTTCCACAAAAGAAATTAACTTTTATTCATCAAGGACGCATTAAATTAGTCAAAGGTGACAGTGAAGACTTGCATTGTACAAAAAAATTCTGTTCTATTCTGTACTTTCAATTCATTGAAGGATTCTGAAAAAAAAAAATTTCAGTTTCCACAAAAAAAAATAAATAACCAGCACAACCTTGATAATAAGAAATATTTCTTTAGCACCACATCATTGAAGACTGGATTTCAGTATTCATCTTTGCTATCACATAAATAAATTACATTTTAAAATATAAAACAGTTCTTTACATTGTAATAATATTTCACAATATTGCAGTTTTAGCTGTTATTTTTATCAAATAAGTGCATCTTACTGACTCCTAACTGGTGAACGGTAGAGTAGCAACACCCATCACTGTAGTGAAGGAAAGGCACCACTTGAGAAAAAAAAACAAAGTTGTGAATTGTCTTTCCCAACAGGCTGTATATAGATGTCTACTAGACAGAGTTCCTGAAGAACAGATGGAAACCACTGTGCAGTAAGTGACTTCACATACTTCCAGGTAGGCCTGTCGCAATAATCAATATATCGGCTTATTGTGCAATATATGTACATGACCTCAATAATTTTTGGTGACGCAATATATTGCCCATTATATTTACTTAAAAATGAATGTCACCATGTTTTGTACATTCCACTTGCGCCTGTGTCTTTTGCAGCTTCTCATACATAACGTGTAGTCATGAGGTGCTAGTTCAAACTTAAAAAATGCTTCTACGAAAAAAAGTTTAATCTGCAGATATGGTCTTGTTTAGGGATCTGTGCCTTTGTGCATACTGACTGCCAGGTAGTGATTGTGTTTTTCAGCAATAGTGTGCAGTGCACCCTTCATTTACAGAGAAAAGAAGGTCCGGGAAAAATCTGTAGATGGAAAAATAATCTCCATACAAGTTCTTTGTGCATTTTTCTTTTTTTCTACTTTGCACTTTTTGTTAGAACATGTTTATTTACTATTTAATCAGGTTTTTTAAGGTATCTAATATTTTGATACTTAATTTCCATGATCTAAATATTCTTAAAAATTAAAAGTTTGTTGTCATTTGGAAGTGTGTAGGCCTTCTTGCATTATTATGCTGTTACATTATGATTATATATTCAGTGGCATAAAATGGTCTTTAAAATGAAACAATGATTGACAATAATATCGCTTATCGCAATTATTTCTGGGGCAATATATCGCACAACAAAAAGTTGTTATCGTGACGGGCCTACTTCCAGGTGTCCCATTGGTCAGTTCTTAATGAACTAGAAATTTCAGAGATATGCTGTTTGCTTGGCAGACTGTCAACACTGAGATTTCTTTTCAGGGTTTTGATGGTACTAGGTGCAGGTCGTGGTCCACTGGTAAATGCCTCACTTCGTGCTGCAAAACAGGCTAAGAGGAAACTGCGTGTGTATGCCGTCGAGAAGAACCCAAATGCTGTTGTCACGTAAGTAACGTAAAGTTAAAGTGTGAATTTTTTTCCATCCTCCTTTTTTCCCCTTCTCTTGATAATATGATACTGTAATTGATGATTTGTAATGTCTCTTATGCTCATCAAAATACAGTAAAAATTGTGTGAAGTATTTTTACAATTTAAAAACACTTTTCTATTTTAATATATTTGAAAAAGTCATTTATTAATGTGATGGAAGTGCTATATTTTCAGTAGCCATTGCTCCAGTCTTCAGTGTCACATGATCCTTAAGAAATCATTCTAATATGCTGATTTGTTTCACAAGAAACATTCTTATTATTATCTTCTTAATAAATTTCTTACATTGAAAACTGTTGTGCTTATTTATGCAGGATTCATTGATGAATGAATAAAATAGCAGTAGAAACAACAGCATTTATTTGAAATAGAAATCTTTTGTAAAAAATTTATTTTATTAATATTTTAATAATTTCTTTAAAAAACTTTTAAAGAGTATATGAATATATATTTTTTGTTTGTTTTAAACAGTTTACTTTCAGATTACTTATTTTAAAACATTTTGAACTCCATTAAACTTTTTACATAAGTAAATGTGATGCTTTAAAGGTGCTTTAAAGGAAAAGTGTGTAATTTGTTTTCAGATGTGTTCATTTGATTTCAAGTGTAATAATTTATGTAAATCAGCAGTCCTTTGGTGTTCCCCTGTCTTTCTCAGGCTGGAGAACTGGAAATTTGAGGAGTGGGGTGATCAGGTGACTGTTGTATCATGTGACATGAGGGAATGGACTGCTCCAGAGAAAGCAGATATCATTGTGAGCGAGCTTTTAGGCTCATTCGGAGACAATGAGCTTTCACCCGAGTGCCTGGATGGAGCGCAGCACTTCCTCAAAGGTTTGATATGAAATCATCTTTGTCTTTTAAAATTCTTTGATTTTTGATTTGCCTTGTTTTACATCTTTTGATCCACTCATGGATGTTTGTTTTCTCTTAGATGATGGCATAAGCATTCCCTGCTCTTACACGTCTTTCCTGGCTCCACTGTCCTCCTCTAAACTATATAATGAAGTGCGTGGGTGTCGGGAGCGAGACAAAGACCCCGAGTGCCATTTTGAGACACCATATGTTGTCAGACTACACAACTTCCACCAACTTGCAGACCCCAAACCCTGCTTCACCTTCGTACATCCCACCACAGGTACAGGATCATGCAGAGACAGACAAACAGATGCAATAAGATGCAAAAATCGTTCCCTTTTTTTGTAACTCTTTCTATGAAGCCATTAACTCTTGATCTTTACCCTGTGCAGATATGAATAATAACCGGTATCAATGTCTACGGTTCTTCATTGGATGTAATTCAGTGCTTCACGGCTTTGCTGGATATTTTGAGGCCACACTCTACAAAGATGTCACGCTCAGTAAGTCTTTTTGTAGTAGCAGCGTAGTGGCACACAATGTCAGTTTAAAGGCTGTTTCACAATGTAAGGCTTGCATTGTTCATGAATTTCTGGGTTACCACATTGAGTGTATTCTGTAATAATGATCACAAATTGGCATGGTTATCAGGAGAGGGCAATTAAAAATCATTTATATAATAAGGAAAACGATTTCATTTCTATCCAAATAGAATCAAATGCATCAAACTGTAGATACAGAGTGTTATTGCGTCAAATTTACAGGACAAAAGTGCAGTTTGTGTCTGTTGCTTTAGTGACAAATAAATATCTGTTTCTTCGTGCTTGCAGGTATAAAACCTGAAACACACTCTCCTGGGATGTTCTCCTGGTTCCCCATTCTATTCCCTTTGAAAGTAAGTTCAGTTCTTTTTTGTACCCCTCTTTCCATTAAACACATTTTATTGGACTTTCCCGCTTATATACAAGCTCACTTATGGATTGGTTTAAATAATATTGATTAAGAAGAAAACGTTTGATCATTTTTAGCATATGTAAATGTAAAACACCTTGTGTCATTTTAAATGTTTTATCTTTGTTTTGGTTTGTTTTTTTATTGTTATTGTATTTCTGTAACTCTTGTATTTTTGTAAATCTGCTTTTGCCGTGAAGATGCCTCAGATGCTGGCATGGAATTAAAATCTGTACTACTACTATATTTTTGTACTGAAACACAAGCATACTCTACATTTTCTTCAACAAGGTTGAATTAATCAAAAGTGACATACTTTTACATTGCTACAAAAACATCTATTTCAAATAAATGTTGTTCTTTGAACTTTCTATTAATTGTAGAATCCTGAAAAAATTATCTTGGTTTCCACCAAAATATTAAAGGGGTCATATGATGCGATTTCATTTTTTCCTTTCTCTTTGGAGTGTTACAAGCTCTTGGTGCATAAAGAAGATCTGTAAATTTGCAAAGACTAAAGTCTCAAATCCAAAGAGATATTCTTTATAAAAGTTAAGAGTCAACCACGCCTGCCTAAAACGGCTCGTTCTAACACGCCCCCACATATCTACATCACGATCTGGGAAGATTTGCATAACACCGCCCAAATGTTCACACAAAGA